GAAGCAGGTGTTCACATCTCTTCACAACACTCCAACCCTGTTCCAGCACTGACACAGTTCCAATGGGCAAAGGAGGCCAATAGCCAAGCCAAGTTTTGCCTGCCATCCTTTTCCTTAGCTCTATCCTTGGCTTCAATATCATAAATATCCATCAATGAATCCCCAGAGTTTTTTTTGTTTTTTTTTTAAAGAAAAAGAATTTTATCGAGAAAAATCTAAAGTTGAGTTTAGTGCCTCAAAGAGATGTTAGGGACAAACAGGCTGGCCACAGCAGGTTGTTATAGAAACAAATCAAAGTAGGCTGCAGGAAACCCAGATACAACTCTCTGTATGAGTCTGCACAGATAGATCATAATAAGGATAAATTCATACATAGCAGAGACAAGGAGGGATGGGTTACAAGAGCCAGCTATTCAGTGCCAGATCCAAGAGTTGAAACAATGTTTTACAAATGGGCTTTTCTGTACAGTTACATCACGTAGTACATGTAATTGTCCCTGCCTTCAGATCCTCATAGGAGTTTTAGCCTACATTGGTCACTGTCACCTTTTAGTGGTACTGTCTTATATTCAATTTCAGATTCTAAATGATCATTTAAGAGACAGAACAGCCATTTTTGCATGAAAATTGTTGTCTCCTGGTGAAGTAGTGGAAGATGCTGGTGGGTCATCTGAGGTGTCACTTCCAAGAAAGACACTGACATTTTCCTATATTCTTGTATGTTATAGTGTCTTTAGCCAGAATGGGCCTCTAAGGCAACACAAGGGATCTGGAGCCACCGCTGTTCCAGCATCAGGTCATGCCTCAGTTATCTGACATTAAGCATTTAAAATTCTTTCCTTATACTATCTAGTAAACAGGGCCACCTTATTATTTATTGCCTGAGAATGCTTTTCACCATCTTCTGAGTTGAGATGTAGGATCTAATACTTCAGATGGTAATGAGGACATTAAAAAAAAAAACACAAGGACCAAGGTAGTTTATAAAACACGTATCTTTCAATGTTTGGAGATAGAGAATGACATAAATGCCCAAGATCATGATGCCTAATGACAGGAGATAAACACACCAAGAGAAAAGGTGGCAAGGGACAAGAAGATGCATCCTCTCTCTCATTTCTAAGCCCACCTCATAATATACAATGTGAGTGCTTAGTGTTATGCTGGAAGGGGGCATAAACTTACAAGCAGATTGTAATGCAGAATGAAGGGGGTTCTTGGAGTCTATAAATGTCTTGGTTAAAAACAAACTCTTGAAACAAACATAAGGCTGTACTATGCCAACATCTTTACAGTTTTCTAACTTACCATGGTAGCATAACATAGACTAGCTTCTGTCTCCTTTCAAGTTTATTTAAGCCAGTTGCCCCCAAGGAACTTCCAAAGTGTTCTGGTCTCAGGGAGCAGTTCCAGAATGGGTTCCTCTTGGTGACCATTCCTTTCATTGGATCACACCTCAGGGACTAGCCTTCATAGTGTTGAGAGATAAAAGGCTGACCAGTGGAGTCCAGCTGGTAAGAAGAGTAGCCCCAAAACCAGGCAACTAAAGGATTTTTTGAGCAATATTAGTATGTAGGACCTAGGGTACTTCTCTAGCTCTTCCCTTTTCATGGAATATTCCCCTAGTTATCTGAAAGGCTAATTTCCTCACTTCCTTCAAGTTCCCCCACCACATCCTGCTTGTTCAAATGAGGCTTCTGTAATGCCTCTGTCTAGTTCTGTAACCTGAGCTGAACCCACATCACAGCATCACAGCAACTCTAATGTATTTTTTTCTCCCACAGCTCATACACACAGTATATAGCTTATTTATTATATTTATTTGGTATACCTTCACTAAAATTTAAGCCCCATGAAGGGGAGAGGATTTTGACTATTTTGTTCTCTGAGGTACCACAAGAACTAAACATAGTGTTTGGCACGTAACCAAGAGGTCAAGGTACATTTACTGAATGGATGAACATGTCTCTTACAGCACAGATGGTGGAAGGGTAAAAGCCAAACTGCATTCTAGGAGATTGAAAAAAAAAAAAAAACACTATGCAAAGTCACAGAAATGTACATTTTCCTGCTGGGGAGAAATATGGGGAATTAGATTGCTTGATGTATAGGAATTGCTCGTGAATTCTGGGAAAGGAGAAATGGGCATTTTTGTTCCCTAATAGATTTTTGTTTCCATTTCCCTTGTTCACAATGAATTTTAGTCACCAATGTCACGCTAGAAACAAACTTAGTACACAGCCTTTATGCTTTCCTGTGGTAGAGGCCACAGCTCAGATTTCAGACAAATAAGAGTGTCAGCCAATGTTAATTCTGTTATTATTTATGCATTCTCCTGGAATCAGTAGCTAACAACACATCATTCTCCCTAGGAAACCCTGGTTGGTATTCAGTGAGTTTTCAAGGATTCCTATTTCCTACAAATTCACTATTTGAGACGGTTTTTAAAAATGTCAAATTCAGTAACATTTCCAAACACCAGAACTAGAGGGCCAGGTTCATTGCCATTGAAATTTGTCGGACCTATTTTCAGATGTTAAGGTCCAATCAAATGAAGATCAATATAGAAATTCATCTTGGATACATCTTGAATTACTACCATTCCACATTATTTTGTTAGAAAACTTCATACATATGAACACACGCTATGTGTACACATACCTTGATCTAGATATGTGTCTTTACTATGACTATCATGAAAGTAATAAAAAGAATATTGATTTTGAAGCCAAATAGACTTCAATTTGAATCTGAACACTACCGATCTACATCACTTTTACTATATGTGTCCCATTTTGATGATAAACTTAATGTTCTTCTAAATAATCTTTGTTAAAACTTTGACATACTTATTGGCGAACAGTAGGTACTCAATAAAAGGTAGTCATTATTTTAAAAATGTAGATGCAATTCAACTTTCTCCTGATCATCACACAGGAACTTCTCTGACTCCCAAGAGAATTGAAATAATTTTTAACAAAGAGAAAAAAAGGGAGAGGGGAGGTCTGTATATAAATCAGTATCTGGAAAAGGGCACTATCCATTCCATGAAAGGAATGAAGGAAAAAGGAATCAATGTCAAGCTTATTATTAAACCCGGATTCTGTTTCTGGAAGCCTAACATTGAGAACCCTTCTGAACTATGCCTCCATAGAGAAAAAGATTTTACATTACACAGAAATAATTTCCTATCTCATTAAATTACTGCAAGGAAAGGAGGGATTCTCTTTCTGGAGGAAATGAACACACCTGCAAACAGCAACAAAAAGTGTTGCCATCTTTGTAGTGTCTCCCATGTGTTGAGCACTGAGACTGACATTTTACATACCTAGAATATATGTATTCAATCTTCAACACAGGCAGTATAATATAGACACATTTTATTGAGGAAGGAAATGCTTTAGAGAGGTTGTACAGCTTGCCCAAAAACACACAATTAATAAACGATGGTGATGCAATTTTAATACAAGTCTATCCAAAATCAAAAAGAACAAAGATCTCAGGTTTTATGTCATTTCCAGTCTCATTCTTTCCTCAATATCAGTATTTTTAAAGAATGGACACATACTCAACACAACTAGGGAGAATTCTGTGAGACCAAGTTAATCTGTATAGGATCATAAACTACACCTACCTCTTCTGCTTTTGAGGTATGGAGTGTTATGACTCTAAGGGGTCATATTGGTAAAAAATGAACAGTCAGTACATAAGGAGTTGAGTCTACACTGATTTCAATGGTGAAGTGGAGGAAGTGAGTGGCTAAGATTCTGACAACATGAAATTACCTCTTGATTCCTCCAGCCCTGACATATTATTTCAGATGTAAGGAATAGCTAAGCCCATCAACAATGCCTGTTAAGTTTGATTAATTGTTTGGTTAATTTCTGCAAGAAGCTGTATTTTTTTTTTTTTTTTGCCTCATTTTACTTTTCATTGGGAAAGGAATTCTCGAATCTTATAAACTATAAGAAACTAAAAAAAAGGTCTATCTAAAATAGCTATATAGGGCACCTGGGTGGCTCAGTGGGTTAAAGCCTCTGCCTTCAGCTCAGGTCATGATCCCAGGGTCCTGGGATCGAGGCCCGCATTAGGCTCTCTGCTCAGCAGGGAGCCTGCTTCCCTTCCTCTCTCTCTGACTGCCTCTCTGCCTACTTGTGATCTCTTGTCTGTCAAATAAATAAATAAATAAATAAATAAATAAAAATCTTTAAAATAGCTATATATTTAACAGATAGAGTTCAGGGCAGCCATCCAGCAGGAATTACCACAGATTTATTCCCAGAAGTCTTCTGAATAGCTAGGTAGTCCCAAATGACTTCTGTCATTATCAAATCTAGCCACATGAGCCAACAATCCAGAGAAAAATACACTGGAGGTCTTCACCAAGGGCTATACATATAGCCAGGCAAAATATAAGCAATACAGCTACTAATCAAGGTCAAGATTTTACCCAACATCCTCTGGCTCCTTATGGACTGTGTATTAGAAATGAGGCCATAAGGTTACAGTAACCTTTTGAGACAGAACTGCATTAGAATCAGAGTATTGCCACCCACTATCTATGTAACCTCAAAAACTATTTAAGCATCAACAGGTTCATCTGCAAAATGAAGATGTTATGAATAGCTTTTTAGGTTATCTTAAAATTCAGGTGTGACATGTCAGGTAATGATAAGCAATGATTACTAAGCATTTATCATGTGCCAACTGTTGAATGAAGTACATACTGCTAGTAGATGAGTAAACTAGGGCACTAGACTTAAGTTACTTGCAGAAATTCACAAATTCAGAAAGTCACAGAAATAGGATTAGAGCCCAGGGAATCAACACAGTCCATGCTCTTAACCCACTGTGCCATACTGCTTAGTGTGGCTGTCAATACTGAGTAAAGACTCAACAATTATGAGTCACAGCTACTGTTAGTATTGTTAACATCCTTACCCCGCATAAAATGAGGTCATACAGAACACTGAAAACTCATGCCAAAGAACACACAATACCTGGGACATGGCTGTAAGAGTTCTTCAACAATGCAGGCCTCTTTCTCGAGAAGTTCAGGGCACTCCTTTCCACCCCCAATAGCAACGTGCTTCACATTCCGGCGCCTGCTCCTAAATCCTGGTGAGAGACTTCCTGAACGACACGTCTTGGAGCAGGGGCTCCAGGAGGACCACTCAGTGGTTTCACAATCTTTTGGCATGATGCAAGACTGGACAGTCAAAGGGAAGGAGTCTTGCATGCAAAGGCTGAAAGAACAGAAGCAAAAAACCATAGGGCATAAATTAAACAAATGCAACCAATGTTATGAGGTGCCTGTTATAAGGGAAAAAAAAAAGAAACAACCTAAAATTTGATATGAACTTTCAAAAGGACTTTAAAAAAATGTTAGAGGCATCATGATAAAATAATGAAGAACATCCATTTTAAGATTGCATGCGCTATCTTATCTGAAACTGTGAAGTTATTTCACTCTAGCAAGATACACATGTAAGATGAGCCCACCCTGAACTTTGCCTGAAGCATTATCAGAAATAACCAAGCCTCTTCTCCTTTGCCTTCAACTCTGATATAACCTAGAGTTGCCATTTGTTGACAGGCTCCCAGGTGTCACACACTGTGCTGCATCTCACAGGTACTTTCTCACCACAATCTCACGTGTTTACATATTATTATCTCCACCTGCAGAAAATAGACTCAGAAAGGCTAAACCATTTGTCTACGGTCAAACAAAGATACAGGTAACTATTAAAAAATAAAACAAATAAAAAATAAATAAAAAGAAGAATAAACAAATGTGGTATCATGTTTTCCCCACACTGTGAGGCTCTGAGCATCAACTTCCTTATTTGCAAAATTCAGGAGCTATCTAATACTAACAATCTAATTGGGAAACAGATAAATAAGAAGGTAGCATAATGGGATAATCTGATGATTTCAACATAAAAGCATTTATAATGATGAGGGGGAAAGTTGATGAGGCAGTGATGGACCACTTAGGAAGGCTGGGGGGATGGGCGGGACTGAGGGGGAGGTTCTAAGAGTGAAGGACATTAGAGCTGCATTTCTTTTAAAGATTAATGGGAACTTCTCTGGCACAGAAGGAAGACTATTTTATTTTAGATCAATGAAATAGCATATGTGGAGCCTTGATATAAAATTTTGTGAGGATGGAAACCAGTGTTCTATAAGCAGTAGAGGTACTGTTTCACAAGAACTAACTAATAAATTTTTAGGAATTTTGCAAGCTAGCTGATTTCATGCAGATAGCTTAAAATTGGCCATGGCAGGAGTATTTACATAACAGAAATCAACAAATGTTACAAATCAAGTCCACCACCCCCACCCTACCCTGAAGCCCAAACCACCAAGAACTGGGGTTAAACATTTACATGCACACCAAACAGGGTAAGCAAAAGCCAACTTGTCAACTGTCAAAAATCTGTCCATTTATAAAGCATAAAGTTCAAAGATGAAAGTGGATAAATATTAGGTATGTGGGTTCTTCAAAAGTAAGTCTGGAAAGACTTCATATCATGGACTAAGAAATTCAGATTTACTTGAGCATTAAATAATTTTAAGTGGAGGAAAATCAATTAAACTCCTATAAGAAGATAAGCCTTCACATATTAATTGGCATTCTTATTTCCCCATTTTTTTGGTGTTGGCCATTGCCTTATTCTATGAAAGTCCTCCATTACCTTGGGAAAGAAAAGAATGATTTTGACAGGAATATAAGTCAATATATGTTCAAATACTGACTTCCAAAAGTGGGCCTGTGAAAACTGGTGGAGTAATGAGCTATAGTCAGGCTTTGGTAATGGTTCTTCTATATGTGTTTAAAAAAGAGGGATGTATTAAAATGATTCCATGTTTCTGATAAACAAAAATATGTTGATAAGGGAGCCACCAACAGAGAAATGGATTATAGAAGGTGAGGGGCAGGAGAGAATAAAACATGCTCAAATTCATGTAAATTATAGTGAGATTTCCATATTGATATCCTTTATAAAGGCACAGAGAATTCGTGTGTTTTTTCGGAAGTCATAATAACATAAGATGAACCTTTGGTCGTGTGTGTGTGTGTGTGTGTGTGTGTGTGTGTGTGTGTGTATACATAGAGTCTATTTAGATCACATTATTCCCTTCAGAATGAAAAAGGCAAAAGAGACCTCACTGCCATTACTCACTCCCATGTAATTTTGGAAGTTTCGAGTAAAGACACAATAAGAAGAACCTCTCTTGAAAAAGCCCCATCTATGTCAGAATATATTATTTCTGGGCATGGTTGGATGTAGAGTAAGAGGATCATCTCTTTTGCTATGTAACACAATGGAAACCTATTGATGAAGAAGTTTATAGGTCTTCACTCTTCAGAAACTGTTACTGGCTTCCAAATTCATATATTGAAGTACTAACTGTCAGTACGTCAGAATACGTGCATATTTGAAGAGTCTTTAGAGAAGTAATTAAGTAAAAATGAGCTCACCAGGATGGGCCCTAATCCAGTATGAATGGTGTCCTAGGAAGAGCTTAGGACATAGGCATACACAGAAGGAAGCCTGTGTGAAGACAGAGAGAGAAGATAGCTGTCTACAAGCCAAGCAGAGAGGGCTCCGAAGAAACCAACTGATCTCAGACGTTCCAGACTCCAGAACAGTAAGAAAATTGTCAGCCACCCAGTCAGTGATACTTTGTTAAGGCAGCCCTAGCACCATCATACGGAATTTAATGGGGTTTTTCAATTTGTGTGTTTTTAGGAAAAAAGTCTCAATTTCCAAGACAGACTTTCCTCTCCCTTTTACAAGGGTCCCACACTATGCAGTTCTCTGTCTACAGGTTTAGTGGTGGTTTGCTTCTTCCCATTTACCAGCTTTGACTCTCTGTTGCTCATCTTCCCCGAAACGACTTTTCCTACAAGCTCAGTAGAATGGATAACAAGACCTGCCAGGAATTGTAGGGATTAATCAGGGACTGTCACGTCTTTGAAAAGGGCTTCTAATTTTTGGAATTAGGAAGAGTATATGTTCCAATTATTATATATTCACTTATTTTTAACATTATTTTCACAAATGTGCCTTCTTAGTTTAAAAAAAAGCCTTAAAAGATACCACAGAGGTACCTGGTCTACTTTGATCTTCGAGATTCCATTTTACTGGAATAGGTGGGCAAGCACTAAGTGGTGAATAAGAAATATCTGGGTCCTGAATTTTGCATCACAGTACAATAGCATGACCTTGGTCTCTCTTGGCTGCTTAGTTTCATTATCTACAGGAAAAAACTATAATAAAATGTGATTTACTCACCTGCACCCAACATAGTTGTAGTCACTTTTATAAGTAGAAAAATCTACTAAACTAAAGCCTATAACAAATATCATTGCCTACACACTGAAATGGAATCAGTCCTTTCATAGGAGGTGGTGTGTCTTTTTAATAATACAGACATATAGTATGGATTTGTCTTTTTTAAAAAAAGATGCTACGGTAATTATACCTCCTTGACATTTACAGAACACATTGTCATTTGTAAATTATTTCATAAGCATTCACTGTAAAGGAAATCACTGAAACAAAAAATTACTATAGTAATTCTTATTTCCTCTGGAAATGTAGGAAAATCTCTTTATTTAGAAAATAAGGACAGAAATTCTTAGAAGATAAAACTCAACAGAAAAGTATCTTCCTTTCATCAACACTTCAGTTACTGCTTTAAAATAATATTAAGATATTAGGGACACCTGGGTGACTCAGCTGGTTGGGCGGCTGGCTGCCTTCCACTCAGGTCATGATCCTGGAGTCCCAGGATCGAGTCCAGGATCGGGCTCCCTGCTCAGCAGGGAGTCTGCTTCTCCCTGTGACCCTCCCACTTCTCGTGCTCTCTCTTTCATTCTCTCTCTCTCAAATAAATAAATAAAATATTTTAAAAAAATAAAGTAAAATAAAATAATATTAAGATATCTCAAATATTCAGAAAAGTAGAATAATATAATACATACTCCTAGACTTTACTAGCAAAGGTTAATATTTATGACAGATTTCATTAAATAAAATAAAAAATTAAAATTTCAGGTAAAGTTCCTTGTGTCACTTGTAATCCTATCTCTAGCTCTCTTCTCCAGACACAGCCACCATCCTGAAACTATTATTCTCTATAATGTTTTTATACTTTAACTAAATGTGTATATGTTCATAAATATCTATAGCATTCATTGTCTTGAAGGTTTTTAAAAGTTTTACATAAATGTTTTATTAAACATATTATTTCTGGAAATTCTTTTCCTTACTTAATGATCTTTAGATCTATCCATGTTGATAAATACAGATAGTGTGCATTCATTTTTATTAGTAATATTCCAATATTCCAATATGAGTCCTTAGCAATTCATTTATTCATTTTCCCATTAGCATACTTTTTGGTTGTGTTTAACTTCTTGCAAATCCACGGGATTATGTATTGAACCTCTTTTTATACATCTCTGTACTACACATGTGTAAAATATTTTCTTTAGTATATTTGCCCTGAGTTGGGCCATAAATAGTCACATAATCAAATGCACTAGGTATTGTGAGATTTTTCCCTTCTTACAAGGTTCAAAAGGTGTATCAGGCTTGAGTTTGTTTGTTTGGTTGGTTGGTTTTGGTGGTGGTGGTGTTTTTTTTTTTTTTTTAATATAAAGAAAGTACATTTGTTTTTTGAGCTTACATTGAGTTTTATATTCTTCTCACATCCTTAATGACTATTCAGACATCCTATCCTGTGAACTGGCCATTCACACTGCTTATCCATTATGGCAGAATAACTGAAGTTCACCTTTTTCCCAGGGTGCTAATTCCCTTATCTCTTGCTTCCTTGTAGAGACCTGGCTGTTAGTTCTATGAAAGCTGACTGGAGGAAGGGAGCTGTCAGCGCCCTCTCACAAACTATTCATGGATTTTCAACCCATCTGCAAATCAGAGTGATTTTCACACTTACACTACATTCTGCAGGTAAAGGAATAACTTTTAGGCCTAGTGAGGACATTTATTCTGAGTTACTTAGTGCCTATATCTGTCAAGTCTTCCAAGAACCTTGTATCAGTCAGAATCAAATAGGCTATAGTGTAGGAGCAAATCCTGAAATCTGAATGATTTAATAAAGTAACTGGTCATTCTCCTTCTGTATATAGTTCAGTGCAGACTGTCCTAGAAGGTACTCTGCCTGAAGACGTAAACATCCAGCTTGTGTCCATCTTATATATTCACCATCC